TCTTCTATCATTGACAGTCCCTCTAGGTTGTGGGCTGCTTGCCTGTGTTCCTGAGAAGCATCTACGGTACCAGTCTATAGAGTGTGTTTTCTTTAGTGAATTACCGGTATGTTTACCGGTAATAAACTTGCACTGTTTTATGTATATGTTTGATTACATACAGCCTTGTGACAGTTTTCCTGCATGTCATAAGCATTTGAATATAAATTAAAATGTTAAAATCAAATCTGATATTGTTTTACCTTTTATTTGGTGTGTGGAAGGTGTGTGGAAGAGGGGGTAGTCTTATACGGCGAGTATGTAACAAACTCTGTATTTTGAGTGGAAATGTTAGGGGGTCGTCTTATACGCCCAGTTGTCTTATACGCCGGCAAATACGGTAAGTTTAATATAAATGCTGAAGTGTTTTGGAATGAAGTGTACTGATATTTGAAATTTTCTTTCAAATGCATAAAAAACTAGGATGGATTAATGGATAGAGAGAGTCACAGATAGATGGATAAGTATGTGATAAACTATAGTAAATCGTTAGCTGTAGATTTTAGGTGGTTGGCATATAGTTGTCCAGAGTATAATTATACTGATTTTTCTGTGTATTTGAAAATTTTCATAAATAAATGGTGTGTGTGGGGGGGAATGAATTACAGGGCCTTGGAAGATATTCTGTGCAAAGTGAAGGACCCTGGAGATTAAGCTTTATTAGTTTCACAATAAATCCACTTCTGCCTGTAGGTCTGCCACAGTACAAATAACTAATCTATAAGGGAGAATTTTCATTGTAAGCCCTACAGTAAAGACAACAAAGGATTTTAAAGATGAAAATAGAACCTAAAGAAAAACTCTTAAAAAAAGAATAATTTTAAATGCTCAACCTGCCCACATTTATTCTACATTTTTTATTTATAAAAATCACTCAGGGCCCAGTGCACGAATTCGTGCACCTTGAAAGGAACTGTGGGCCGCAAGGCAGTGGTGGGCATAGAGGTGGGTCTTGGCCCATCCTACGCACCCCCACCTGGCCCCTCTGGCAGCAGCTCCTGGTCCCCTGTCTGCTGGCAGCCCCGCTCCTGCCGTCATCGCTCCCACATGCTGACGGCACCGGCCCCGCTCGCAACCGCGTAATAGAGGAGTGATTGGGGCCAGTGCCAGCAGTGGGTGTGAGTGGGGCTGGCACCGTCAGTGGGTGCAAGCGACGGCTGCTGCCCTGATCACCCCTCAGGAGCAGGGGGAGGTGGAGAAGCACTCAGGGGCAATCGGGGCCAACAGCCAAGCGATTGGGATTGGCGCCAGGTGCTAGCAGCGGGTACAAGCAGCAGCTCTGGCGCTGGCTGCGGGTGCAAGTGGGTCTGGCACCAGCAGTGGGTGTGAGCAGTGTCTCTGGTACCAGCAGCAGGTGCAAGTGCCAGGCGGGACTGCAGGGCGCAGGAGCAAAGAATTTTTAGTAACCACCAGAGGCTCGCTCCAATGACAGCGACTGGCAACCCACCTTGGTCTGGCGCCCCCACTCACCTGCTCTACCATCCCTCTGTGGCTAATGCCCACTATCGTCCACATGCGCCCCCTGGTGGCCAGCGCATGTCATAGCAACTGGTTATTCGGTTGTTCCGTTGTTCGGTCTATTTGCAGATTAGCCTTTTATTATATAGGACTAGAGGCCTGATGCACAAAATTCATGCAAGGGGCTTGGCCCCCACTGCTGTAGCAGCTGCCTCTGCCTTGGCCCCCGCCGCTGTGGCTTCGTCCAGAAGGTTGTCTGGAAGGATGTCTGGTCTAATTAGCATATTATGCTTTTATTATTATAGATGCTCTAGTTTTAAAAGAATAGTAAAATATACAAAAGAAATCAGCCATATCTTCCCCCCCTCCAGAGATTACTAGAATATAAGTTCCAAATTTATTTTGTTTATTGTGTTTCCTCAGTGATTGGAACAACAGCCCACACATTTGGTGTTGAATGAATTGGGATGAGTTTTGTGGGGGTTTTTTGGGGGGGGGGCAGGTATTTAGAGGTAGGGTTAGTGTATGCTATGTAAAGCATTCACCATGAGCAAAAGTATAGAATTCCAGAACAAGAGGACCAGGTTCAGGAGACACAGGTTTGAATCTAGCAGAGATTAAAATATGGGAGTTCCCAGACTAACATATTTTGTTTGTACTATATGGCATTAAAATAATTTTTGATGAGATGCCAACATTTAAAAATATGACAACTTACAGAGAAATCTGAATATCCAGCTTCTTTTGACAAATTGGAAAGCTCTGGAAACACTGAAGTGAGCAGCAGCTGTCCTGAACAATGCTCATCTGTTCACCGAACTCCGCTTCAGGCTAGCACACTCATGGGGGTTTCCTCTGAGACACTATAAGCATTAGAGTTTGCAGTATCTGGTAGAGGAACTCTGGAACTTCATATAGGAAGTAAGGTTAGGGTCAGAGATACAGGCCATGGGTACCCAAATGGGGAGTTTGTATTTTGTTCAATGGTCAAGAGGAAGACTGAACAGTGTTTGCTTAGTTACTACCATTGTGTAACAGATCATCCCAAAACTTAGTGGCTTAAGACAACAATAATTTATTTAGACCATAATTTTGTGAATGGGCAGTTTTTAAAAACAAAATGTTTTTATTGATTTCAGAGAGGAAAGGAGAGAGAGAAACATCATTGGTGAGAATCAGATTGGCTGCCTTCTGCACGCCCCCTACCGGGACCTGCAACCCGGACATGCGCCCTTGACTGGAACCGAACCTGGGACCTTTCAGTCCGCAGGCTGACGCTCTATCCACTGAGCCAAACTGGCTAGGGCTGAATGGACAGTTTGGTCTAGTTCAGCTGTGTGGTTCTTCTGGTGTTGAATGGGCCAGCTGGGTTAGGTTGTCTCTGCTCCATGTATCTCTCATTCTCCAGCATAGTAGCCCAGTTCATGTCTGGATCAGGGTCCAAGAGAGGGAGTGGAAGTATATAAGGCCTCTTGAAGCCTAGGCTTGGAATGGGCACACCATCGCTTCTACATTTTATTGGCCAAAGCCAGTCACAATACCAGCCTAGATTCAAGTAGTGGAAAAGTAGGCTTTATTTTTTTCCCCCTTTTAAAAAATCATTTTATTGTGGAAAGTTTTAAGCATATTCACCCATATGTACCGATCATCCAGATTCAACAGCTAGCAACTCATAGCTAATCTTATTTTACTTTTTTCTTTATAACTAGAGGCCTGTTGCATGAAGAGATTCAAGCAATAGGCCTTCCCTTCCCCTGCCTGCTAGCACCGGTTTTCCTCCGGCACCCAGGACCCAGGCCTTTGCTCTGGCCGGAGCCGCCTTCAGTCTTCGCTGCTCCATCCCACTCTGCCATTTTGCACCTACGTATGCAAATTAACTGCCATCTTTGTTGGGTTAATTTGCATACTCTCCTGATTGTGAGCATAGCAGAGGGACAGTCAATTTACATGTTTATTAGGTAAGATTATTTTCCCTCCCCCTGAATTATTTTAAATTAAACTCCAGATATATCATTGCATTCCATAAACCTTTCCGTTTGTAAGAGAGAGTATTTCTTTTCAATTGAAATATAATTGACATACAATAATACATTAGTTTCATGTGTAGATTCCACTTTGCCATGGGAGGAGCTGCAAAGTCAGAGTGCTAAGAGGTGTCCATACAGAGAGAGATACGTTTTTGTAAAACATCTATCACAGGTACTATCAGAGACATACTTTTGACAATATCGTTTGGAGGGGGGTGCGCTCTGCATGACTGGAACCGTTTTCTCTTTGTAACAGAGAAGTGCTGCTTCCCTGAATCCATAAATAACTTCATGCCGAGGACAGGAGAGAGAAAGATGCCCAGCTTTCGCCTCTTCCAGTTTCTTGTCCAGCGACTCCTTAGTGTCTGTTTCAATCCACAGCTTTGTAAAAGATAGACAGTTTCTCTGAGATTTCTGTGAATGAATGAGCAGAAAGTTAGACAATAAAAGGGTGCTGAGAGCCAAGCTAGAAGCACAGAGATGTTTCTACACTGCAGAACAGTGCATAAACTGCACTCCCTTTGGTCTGGCTGGATGGAGCCTAAACCACCATCTGCATTCATGCCTTAGTGATATGATGTTCCTTCTTACTTGGTCAACTTCTCAAATACACGTAGCTTCTCAAATACAAAGGAGGGGTAAACTCCCATCTTAGTCTGAATTAGTCTCAGTTTTAGATTCTCTAATGCCAGGCTGACCCTGAGTTGCAAGGGAGCCTAGAAGAGGGAAGAAGGAAAGAAGGAAGGGGGAGAGAGAGAGAGAGAGAGAGAGAGACAGAGAGAGAGAGACAGAGAGAGAGAGACAGAGAGAGAGAGAGAGAGAGAGAGAGAGAGAGAGAGAGAGAGAGAATATGAATATAGTGAATATAAGCTGGAATAATCTACCTCCCCAACCCACTTTAGACTAAACACCATCCCTTAACACAGAGTTTCTGAAGTCCTGTACTATTGATATTTGGGCTGTAGAATTCTTTGTTGTAGGAGGCTGTCCTCTGTATTGTAGGATGTTGAGTAGCATCTATCTACTAGATGCCAGTAGTATGATCTATCCCACCCATCGTCCCTGAGTTGTAACAACCAAAAAAACGTCTCTAGACATTGCCAAATGTCCCCCGAGGGGCAAAATCACCCTTGCTTCTGAACCATAAAGGAAATCTTTCACAAATGTGAACTAACACATGCGGCTCACATTGTTCGGATCAGAGAGGACCTTACCCTTAATAGAGGGCCGCCTGGAGGGCTCGTAAGCCCGACAACTATCAATGATCTCCTGCAACTGTGAAGGGCAGTCTTCACCCAGTGGCTCCTGGTGCTTGTCTTTAGCTACCAGCTGGCGGATCTTCCTAGAATCACAGCCTGGCATGGGAACAAGACGATGAGAGGCTGAAATATTGCTCTGGCACCCACACATCTCTCTGGATGAGGATTGCTGGCATCAGACTTAGGGACTTTAAGTACTGAAGAAACAAGAGCTTCCAATGACTTCAATGACCAGCCCAGGCAGTGCCCACATTGGAGAACAAAACACCCAGGACAGCACTGATAGGGAATTTCTAGTCTTCTGGAAAAGGACCCAATCCCAGCACCATCTGAGCCAGCCTTCACCCTGGTTACCTTCAAACGGGGTCTTCCCAGTGACGATTTCCCAGAGGACAATTCCAAAGCTGAAAGAAAACCGAGAAGCTGAACAATCAGAATGTTCCTGTTTTCCCACACCTCTTAGCCATTTCTAGAAACTTCAGTGAATTTTTTGATTGCCACCCAATTCCATTCAACAGAGTAGAGGTATGATGGTGTTTGGATGTGGAGTTTGACTTGGGCTTTCCTGTCCTGTTCATCTGAGTTAGAGTCTGAGCAAGAACATGAACATACCTGTATATTTCAGCTGCTATGTCATATTTATTGAACACATTTTCCAGTCTTTGAGGTGAGATATATGCTGCGGAATTGACTGTCCCTTCTTTTTTTCTCTTAGTTGTTCTGCTGATGGAAGTCTGTGTTTTGCTCAACTCAAATCCTGAAAGCTAGATGGAGCGGTGAATTAGAGATAGAAAGAAACAACACGATCTTGGGTTGGGAGTAGTGGGCAAGGGCTTGGTGCTACACATGATTGTCGGGGAGAGTCTTTTACCTTTGAAATGTATTTCCAGTGATGTCTTCTCTCTGTGTGGCTACCATACTGGCTGGCATTATGGGTTTAATTTATTATGATGTATTGACCAAGAGAAACACAAAGGGGCAAGGAGGATTACCTGAGATAATGGTTATAAAGCACTTGTAAGACTTGGTAAGTTGTAGCTGTTCTAGTATCACTGTATTAGATGCAGCACTTTCTCAGTTGAGGACTCAACTCCACTAAGTGAGGGTGGAAGAGGTGCACAGAGCTACCACATGGCTTGCTTTCTCTCAGAAGCAGTTGGAAAAATGACATAGGGCACCCTCTCTGTTGATCTGACCCTATAGAACATCCAGCCTGTTGCTTTGGATTTTACATGACAACTCTGAGTTACCCCCATTGACCCTGCCTGGCCAATGCCATGCTCTTAAAGAAGCCACAACACGATTAATGGGAGCAGATATTCTCCTTTCTCCATGTACACCTGTCATTAGTACCATCAGTGTGCAGAGGTGTGCCACCCCCAAACTTGGCTAGATATGCAAGTATAGGGGCAAGGTGAGGAAAAGGATAAGACACGTAGAGGGTTTATCCGCCACCCTTTTTAAAAAATACGTTTTCATTGACTTTTTTAGAGAGAGAGGATGGAAGAGGAATAGAGGTAGAAATATTAATGACAGAGAAACATGGATCGGCTGCCTCCTGCACACACCCCGCTGGGGATTGAGCCTGCAACCCAGGCATGTACCTGGACTGGGAATCGAACCAGTGACCTCTTGGTTCATGGGTCCACGCTCAACCACCGAGCAGCACTGGCCGGGCTCATCCCCTTTCCATTACATGTTTACTGAGCACTAACATCCTCTGACACCTGTCACCATGCTAGATACCAGAGAGCACATGGTACAGTTAGGTGGGATGAGGATCCTGAGTGATATCGTCATGGTGCTTTGGGAGCACTTATATCACACCGATGAGGAGGAACGGCAGAAAAGAACTATCTTCTGTTTGTGGGGGGCTCTCTCTGAAATTCATAATGCTGGAAGAAAGAAAGCCATGTATGGATGACAAAGAAAACATTCTTTCAGCATTTGGGAATTATGGACATTGAGTTAAACCCTTTCTCTTCCTTATTAGAATCCGACTTTTTAGCTCCATTCCCTTGGGAACCTGATAAAAGCAGACTGTCACCTATGCTCCTAAGTAATATGCTGAAGACAAAAAATGATCACTGATTGGTAAAGCTTATTGACAGGGTATGCAGACTATAAAGAGCTGATAGGGATGCTGGGCTTTGTGGTGAATCTTTTTTTTTTAAATATATTTTATTGATTTTTCACAGAGAGGAAGGGAGAGGGATAGAGAGCTAGAAACATCGATGAGAGAGGAACATCGATCAGCTGCCTCCTGCATACCTCCTACTGGAGATGTGCCCACAACCAAGGTACATGCCCTTGGCCGGAACTGAACCTGGGACCTTTCAGTCCGCAGGCTGACGCTCTACCCACCGAGCCAAACCAGTTAGGGCATGTGGTGAATCTTATAACTGACATGCCTCCATGGGGACACTTGAAGATATGCCTCAGAAGTTGTTATAATATGACTTCTGAGGGTCATGAGGCTTCTAAGGCTAGAGGACCCCACACCCACCTGAGGGGAGCCTCTTTCTCTAGCACCTGGGGCAGGGCAAAGAGAACGCCTCCTGGGTGACTGTGGGACAGCTGTGGGGACTCCACTGGAGAGAAAGATTTGACGCTGCCGTGCTGGTAAGCTACGTTTCCTGCATGATACCCTTCTAAGTGACTCCAAATGCCAAGTGTGGCCTATGCCAGTCCTGTAAGTCTGAATGCCTAGTTGGGCCTGAGAAGATCCCCTGGTGGGTATTGGGGGGATGTAGAAGTGGTGTCCAGGAATCTAAAGGGAAATGACTCTTGCCCAGCCAGTGTGGCTCAGTTGGTTGGGCCTCATCCTATGCAGCAGGAGGTGGCTGGTTCAGTTCCTGGTCAGGACACATGCCCAGGTACAGGCTCGATCCCCAATAGGGGGTGTGCAGGAGGCAGCCGATCGGTGTTTCTCTTTCATCAATGTTTCTATCTCTCTCTCTCCCTCTCCCTTCCTCTCTCTGAAATCAATAAAAACATATTTTAAAGATCATTTAGTCCCAGTCTCTTAAAAAAATAAGGGAAATGACTCTTAGCCCGTCCCTGCTAAGCAGGCGGTGAGTGAAGACAGGTATCCTAACAGCAGGCAGGATTGAGTCTGACCTATGGTGGGCACCCGGAAAGCTGTCCAGGCAGGAAAAGGGTTTTGAGTTCAGTTCTAAGGCAGAGTTAAGGCAGAGAAACAAGCAGGCACAGCTTTTCTGGGCAACAGGTGTCCCTCTCCCGGCACCAAACAGTCACCAAGGATGAACTCAAAGAGCCCCCTGGAAGGCCACACTCACCTTCACTTGGTAGTTGTTAGTTACTAGGAAGCTCTTGCTGCTGATGTTTCTGTGGAGCTCAGGGGCTTTGGAATGGTGCAGCCTGACATGACCAAAGGCAGGGAGCGTTAGTGACCTTTGCAAGACCTTCCCGGGCGGCTTGACAGTTATTACCGGAACAAGGAGGCTGGTCAGTACCGTGCCTCTCCCCCTTGTACCTCAGTTGTGGGTTCAATCCCTGGTCAGGGCGAGTGCTGGAGGCAACCCATTGATGTGTCGCTTTCACATCCATGTTTCTCTCTCTTTGTCTCTCCCCCTCCCCCTTTTTCTAAAAACCAATGGAAAAATATCCTCGGGTGAGGATTAACAACAACAAAAACTTAAGGGGAGACTATCTTGGGCTTCTGGCCTGTTCTCTCATCCTCTCGGGGATATCAGTAGGGAAGGAGGACTCATTTTGTTCTTCTCAGCATCCTTTCAACCCATATGGTACCTGTATAAGCCACTGGCTGCCCCCACGGCCAGGACGATGCGTTCAGCCAATGTGAGGTCCTTTTTCTGATCCAGCAGTTCCCGGAGGGTCCCGAGCTCACAGTACTCCATGACGATGGAGAATTGAGGTGGGGTCACTGATGGAAAGAAGATCAGCCCCACTCAGAGGTCCTGCTCTGCAGCCCATCTCCCCCCCATCTCTACAGACACAGACATCAGCGCTGCACTGCTTTTCCCCCACCCTCTCCCCATCTCACACAGTTTGCATCCTGACCTCACTGAATGGGTCAAATACCCACAGAGTTCCCATACCTCTTCTTCATAGTATTTGACATGTCGTAATTATACATTCTCTTAGTTATTTGAGTAATGTCTCCCCTACTCAAGTTCAGGTCCCAGAGGGCAGGCTCTGTTTTGTTCACACCCTCAGATGCAAGAACCGACACACAAAGAATGAGTCAGTCACCTCAGCCATCACCCAGGAGACCAGATATCACTGGAAGTTTTCCTCTAGTTGAGGGAGGCTGTAGAGAAACATCTAAAGGGGAATAAAACATTTAAGGGGGTTGCTCTGTCCCCTCTGTAGGCAAGAGCAACAATGCATAACCCACAGGAGAGACCATGCTATGAGGGAAAATGCAGCCACATTAAAAAATTAAAATGAAAAAGAATCTGACGCCTGAGGTTCTTGGTCAAGGGGCAGGTTAATTGAGTTTTTAGGTTTGATCTACACTAACGATATGAGCAAGGACAGATTCCTTGTTCTTGATAAAGGGGCAGGTTAATTGAGTCTTAGGTTTGATCTACACTAATGATGATCCAGGGTGGATGCCTTATACTGATCAGTCAGCTTTATCATGTTTTATTGCAACAAGATGCTTCCATCACTCAGGCCAGTATCTGAACAAGATCCCCAGTAGACTGGGAGAAGAGGAGGTGGCCACATTAGTGTAAATCAGCCCTCAGGATGAAGCCAAATTCAAGCCCTTGTTTCCTGAAAGGATATGGGAACCTGCATCTTGGGATGCAGAAAAACGAACACTGATCATAATAACACTGTGTAGATCCCACCCTTCCAGCTCTTCTTTAAAAATGCAATGCATTATAAGATATATGACAGACCACCAAAAGAAGGCCCAACCCCAGAAGCACTCCTTACCTGTTTCATCAATGCAAATCCCAAATATACGCAGGATGTTAGGAGAATCAAATTTCTTCATGGTTGTGACCTCATTATTGAAAACACACCTCACTGTTCTATGAGGAGGCAATGGAAAAATTAAGATTTACAATTAAGATTTACAATTAAGATTTCAAGATGGGAGGGTCCCGCTGAGAACATTTAGTGTAGGGACCATCTGTGCATGTGTGGGGGATTGTCAGCATCCTGGGGTGAGATGAGCTTGGCCACTGATGGCAGTGTTTAGCAGTAGAATTAGCATGCACGATACATGCTACAACATAGATTTACCTTGAAAAGATCATTCTAAGTGAAAGGAGTCAAAAACAACAGGCCACATATCGTATCATTCCATGTGTGCAATATCCAGAACACACACATCCATAGAAACAGAAAGTAGATTAATAGGTGTCTAGGGCTAGAGAAGGTGGGGGTAGCAGTATATGGGGAGGGACTGCTAAAGGGTCTAGGGTTTCCTTGTGGGATGATGCAAATGCCCTAAAAATCACTTTATGGCAATGGTTGTACAACTCTGTAAATATATTAAAAGCCATTAAGTTATACACTTTAAATGGGTGAATCTTATGGTATGTAAATGATGTTTCAATAAAGTTATTAAAAATACTATCCCAATCCAAATCTCAATGTGTATGTTGAGGAATGTGATATTTATGTAGCTTAGTCAACCTGAGAAACAAGAGCCAAGATGGAGGGAGTTACCTTACTAGATACTGAGAATTACTAAAAAGTCATCATAAAAACAAAACAGTGTTATTGGTGCAAAGACAAATTGACCAGTGGAATGTAATAGAGAGATTAGAGCCAGATCCATGTCTAAATAGAAACTTAACATCCAACAAATGTGGCACCACAAGTCAATGGGGAAAAACATTTACTAGCTGGTGTAGAGAAAAGGGATTCATTGTATAGATAAAAAATAAAGCTAGGCCTTACATAATATCAAAGGTGGATTCCAGGAGAATTAAAGCCTAATGTGAGAAATAAAACTCAGTTACTAGAAGAAATCTGGAATGCCTAGGGGAGTGGAAGGGCACCTCAAGAGCACAAATACATAATAAGGTAACATTTTGGTAGAATGAATAACATCGAAATTTAAGATGTCTGTTGATGGACACCACTGGCAAAATTAAAGTATAGACAATATGATGAGAGAAGACCTTTGCAATATCTCAAACTTAGAAATGATTAATTGCCACAATATACATGTTTATCTTCTACAAACGAACATGACAAAAACAGCAACCGTGACAGAAAGAAGGGCAAGATAGAGAAGTGGAAACCCACATAGCTGAAAGCCATATGAATAAATGTTCAAATTCATTAGTAAACAGAAATGCAAATCAAAATAGCGATAGGATGTTACTTTATAACCATAAAACATGAGAAAAACGAGAAGGCTGGATAACACTAAGAGTTGGTAGAGATATGTAACTCTAGAGCTCTCACACATTGCTGGAGAGAGGATAGGCACCTACAACCCATTCTAGTAGTACTTAGTCAATTTCTTATCAGCATGACCCATTGAGTCCTCTCCTGGCAACACAGCCCAAAGAAATTCCCATACAGGTCCATAAAGGGGTACTTATGGTGGCATTATTTTTGGCGGGGGAACGTTGGAAACAGGTTGGGTTCCATCACTGGAAAAATAGGTAAAATGTTGGTCTACACCGCAGACAGCAGTCAGAAGGAAAGGGCCACAAGTACAATACTAGTTCCCTGATGCTGAGTGGAAAAGGTAAGAACAGTAGGCAACAGATATATAACACGACCGCTTGTGAAAATAAAAGATGCACGCACATATAACAACAACATACATTTTACAAGAACACCTACAAACAAAACACACTTTATTGCCTGTGGAGGGGATGGGGAACTGAGAACTAGGAATGGAAGGGAATACACATTTTTAAATAACTAAACGTATGAATAAAAGAGAGAAGTTTCTAGAATTGAGGTTGGAAGACATGCACTTAAAGTCTAGGCTCTGCTCCTTAAGAGTAGAGGGCAAGTCATTTCACCCTTTGGGGCCCCATTCTCCCACCTAATGGAGACAATACGCCTCTCTCCTTGGGGAGCTTTAGAGAGGAAGTGAAATGATACATGAGATAGTAACTATACAAAAGCACTTACCCAGGGTTTCTGGTCTGGACGTTGTTGAATACTTTTATGGCCACTGGAGATTGGTAATATTTTCCTTTAAAAACTTCGCTGAACTCACTTTTCTTTAGAGAGATCCAATCAGAAAGCTCCTCCTTCTTAATCTCCTTGACTTTATATGCGAGGACCGCCTTTATTGATGTCTGTAATTCTGACCGTAGGACAGAAGGAAATAGTGAGCTGAGGAAGGTGTCCTAAGGGAAGAGGTGTCTTGGCAAACAATGTAAGTGGGAAGCCTTACGCCCTGACCCAAAGCTGGCCCTGGCGGGACCTTCTGACTCACTCAGCCTGGGGAAGAGGTTCCAGAGCCTCTGAGTGACCCGTAGAGACACAGCTGGATGGTTAACAAAAAACGTGTCATGCACTTCCTGCCCCTCTTCTTCAAGTCCTGTCTCTCCAGCCTAAACCTCCATCTCAATCCGTCTCTCTCGTTTGGGAGCCCTTCCTACTCCTACTGCCACTTGAGCTCGGCCCTTGAACATTTAGCATCTTGTTTAGTCATTTCAGCTCTAATAGTGAGATACATAGTTCAAGCTGAGTGACTCCACTGCTGGTATGTGCTCACACGACTCTCTTTCCTCTCCCTCCCTCCTACCCTGTGGCTGTGAGCTCCCCTAAGGCAGGGTCTTTCTCTGCATCTGACTTGGCTCTACGTACAAGGCTCTGGCAGCAGATACATATTGGTCAAATGAGTGATGAATGAGTATTTTAAATTTGATTTGCATTTGTTCTTGGGAATTCAGCAAAAGAAGCTTCGATACTGTCTAGAGCAGTGGTTCTCAACCTTCCTAATGCCGCGACCCTTTAATATAATTCCTCATGTTGTGGTGACCCCCCACCATAAAATTATTTTCGTTGCTACTTCATAGCTGTAATTTTGCTACCGTTATGAATCGTAATGTAAATATCTGATATGCAGGGTGTATTTTCATTGTTACAAATGGAACATAATTAAAGCCTAGTGATTAATCACAAAAACAATATGTAATTATATATGTGTTTTCCAATGGTCTTAGGCGACCCCTGTGAAAGGGTCGTTCGACCCCCAAAGGGGTCTCGACCCACAGGTTGAGAACCGCTGATCTAGAGGCAGTTGTCAGCGCTTAGGCCGGTACTAGAAGGTACCTTGGGGATTAAGAAGTTCCCTTCAAATGCTACTCCATGGACAGAAGCCTGGGCTAAGTTATGAGCACATCCGCAAACCTGTGGGCTGTTTCCAACCATCCAGCCTAGAAAATGGGCAGTAGTGGGGTGGGGGAAGACTGGAGTTCCTACTGAACAAATGACTTTGGTTTGGGGGCAGTCAGAAGCAGCAGGTCACAGGTAACTCACGGCGCCTCATGATTTCTTCCACTTCATTTTTCCCTTTCTCCACTAAAGCTTCGATAATTTCACTTTCTGCTGGAAAAAAGAGTGGCAAATACTCAAAAATAGAAATGCGAATTAAAAGCACACCGAGGTCCCATTTTCTTTAACTTATCATATTCATTGCAGTAGGGATTACTACTACTGCTCACGAATATTCATCTTTCTACTTCTTTTTTTTTTAAAATACATTTTATTGATTTTTTACAGAGAGGAAGGGACAGGGATAGAGTGTTAGAAACATCGATCAGCTCTGCCTCCTGCACACCCCCCACTAGGGATGTGCCTGCAACCAAGGTACATGCCCTTGACCAGAATCGAACCTGGGACCCTTGAGTCTGCAGGCCGACGCTCTATCCACTGAGCCAAACTGGTTAGGGCTTGTCTTTCTACTTCTAAGCACATAGTGAATGCCTTGAAGCATGGCCGTGTCACTTGTTTTGACTGAGAAATGAAGTGAAAGAAATGCGAAGGAAGTTTGTGTCAATGCGAAAGTGCCATAACCTTGAAAGTTCCTGAAAAGGACAGCTGCTACCTCGGAGTCTCCTGGACTTTGCCTAAATAAGAAATAAAGTTTTCTTTCTGTGAGGCACTGTTGTGTAGTTTGTTTTTTACACCATAGCATAATCTCATCTATCATTATTTATATAATCAGAAATACATTTAAAAACTGATAGGACCAAAAACAGACAAACAAACAAACAAAAACCCTGATAGGACCTTCAGTGCTAAAGCTAATGAAGAAAAGTGTGGAGAAACACAATCTCATACATAGTTGGTAGGAATGATAGTGCTCTAACCTCTGTAGAGGACAATCTGGCAATCTCTATCAAAATTTTAAGTGCCGGGGGAGGGGAGGAGGCTGGGGACAACTGTAAAAAAAAAAAAAAAAAGTAAAGTGCTCATACTCTATGACCTACTTATAAGAATTGTTCCTAAAGATATCCTGAAATATATGCAAAGATGCTTAAGGCAGGACTAACAATTGTGAAAAACTGGACACAGCTCAAATGTCCATCAATAGGGAGTTGTTTAAATACATCTGGCCCACCCTAATTGGTTTGGCTCAGTGGATAGAGCGTCGGCCTGCGGACTGAAAGGTCCCAGGTTCGATTCCGGCCAAGGGCATGTACCTTGGTTGCGGGCAACATCCCCAGTAGGGGGTGTGCAGGAGGCAGCTGATTGATGTTTCTCTCTCTCTCATCAATGTTTCTAATTCTCTATCCCTCTCCCTTCCTCTCTGTAAAAAGTATCAATAAAATATATTTTAAAATAAATGAATGAATGAATGAATGAATAAATAAATAAATCTGGCCCATGTATACCAATGAATACGAGGCAACTCTATGAAAACTAATATGGATGAATATTAAGATTTAATGAGGCCAAAACCGGTTTGGCTCAGTGGATAGAGCGTCAGCCTGCGGACTGGAAGGTCCCGGGTTCGATTCCAGTCAAGGGCATGTACCTGGGTTGCGGGCACATCCCCAGTAGGAGATGTGCAGGAGGCAGCTGGTCGATGTTTCTCTCATCGATGTTTCTGGCTCTCTATCTCTCTCCCTTCCTCTCTGTAAAAAATCAATAAAATATATTTAAAAAAAAGATTTAATGAGAAAAGCAAGAAGCAGAACAGTGTGTTTAGGATGCTATTGATAGTGTAACAATGATAAAAATAAATCTATATCCTTAAATATCTGGAAGGCTATTCAACGAACTGGTAAAGAAGATTATATCTGGGAAGGAAACAGTTCCTTTGAGGTCAAGGGTGAGAAGGACATTTACTTCTCATGCTGGGCCCTTTTTGTACCTTGTGAATGTATTACTTGATAAAAGCGTTTTTAAAAACTGAAAGCCTCACTCATTTATGAATAATAAAGACCATTATAAACTGATGAACAAAAATAGATACAGAGGCAGAGCAGCATTAAACAGACTGTCAAACTACAGCAGGAAGGCTGGGAGGGTTGTGGGGGCGGCGGGTAAGAGATCAACCAAAGGACTTGTGTGCATGCATATAAGCATAACCAATGGACATAAGACACTGGGGGGTAAGGGAGGCTGGGGGAAAGTCAAGGGAGAAAAAAAAGGAGACAAATGTACTACTCTTTGTAATATTTTAAGCAATAAAAAACAAACAAACTGAAAAGCAAGAGCAGAAAGTAAATCCTGTCCTCCAAGTTGATGACACCAACATGCCCCCTACCTTTCCCAGGAAGTGAGCCAATGAGTGCTGAAGATTAGGAAGGCTGGGTCCAGTCCTGTCTTTCAGCTGGGTTGGCCCCTGCACACACCTCTTTCCCCTGGCCCCCAACCCCTGATTCTGTTTCTCTTTGTTGGGTGTTTGGTTGGAGGATTGCAGGTGTCTCACTTTCCCTCGTCCAGAAAAGAACCCATTTTGCCCACAGGTCTCTTCTGGCGCAGTTTGTACTGGTTGAGTGTCCCCTGCTGACCTGATTGGGGATGGACCACCTTCCACATCAAGGTGGCAGAACAGTTATTTTGCTGGTCTCCAGTGCCCAGAAGGTTCATTCAAATGTCCTTTATCCTCTCCTCACTTCCTCTCTCTCCACCCACAATCCTTACAAAAGGGAAGAGTTTAGAATTCCTATCACCAGGATCTGCAAAGGGGTAAAGAGGCCACATTTGTTTCCATCCTTCTGCTCTGTTCCCTCTTCTGGTGGCCCTGACCCCACTGTCTCCCCTATTCCAACCTAGCCCACGTTTCATCCCTAAGGCCTTGTCCTCCACTAAAGTCCACCAAGTTCAAGGGCCACTCTAGTTCAAGCCACCATCATCTTTTACCTAGTCTCAAAGTGGCTCTTAACTAGGCTCACATTTCCACTCTTGCCCTCTGGGGTATGTTGAATGATTGGTCCCAATTCTTCACTCCTATGTAATCGTCTTATACATCCACACCACTATAGCTTCATAGTGGGCACACTGTATTTCCCTGTCCCTTCATGTTGGGCTTGGCTATATCAATGGCTTTGAATATTAGTGGACAAAAGTAGAGTGGACAAGGTGCTGGTACTGTGGAGCTTGCCTTCTTGCAATTCTGCCAAAAGAACATTCTCCAAGTACTCACTGCTCCTACAACCTTGGCTACAGAATGAGACACGTTAAACAGACCCAAATTAGACATGCTGCCTGGAGCCCAGCCCAGCCAAGACCTCTGAGATCAGAAGAATCCCAAATGGACCCACAGATCTGTGAGTAGGAGAAGGAATCCTTGAAACATATTGTTTCAAGCCTCTGAGTTTTGGGGTGGTTTGTTATTGCAGTATTAGTATAGCAACTGACTAATACGTATTATTACAGTCTATCGCCACATGGCAGCCCAAGTGATGTTCTTTAATACAAGTCAAATCATGACAGGCCCACATTTAAGACCTCCCCTTCCTGGCTCCTATGACTCAGAATAAAATCTACATTTCTTTTCATGCCTTCATGGCCCTGTATGACCTTGCTCCTGTATCTTCCGGCCTCCTTCTCCACATCCATCTCATACTACTCTCTCTTCCATGTCTACCCCACCAAAGCCATCCTGCCTTCTGGTTGTTCATTCTGGTTGTTCCATTTATTCCCCATCTCAGGGCTTCTGCATCTCCTGTTTTCTCTGCTGGGAATGCTCCTCTCCCTCATCTTCATATGGCTTGCTCCTTCTCATTATTCAAGGCGTCCATTCCAATACCACCGGTTAGAGAAGTTTTCCCTGAACACTCAGTCTGCACCCGCTGTCACTTTCTATTCCATTGCCCTGCTTATGGCTTTCATTGCTTTTAATATATTTTATTGATTTTTTACAGAGAGGAAGGGAGAGAGATAGAGAGTTAGAAACATCGATGAGAGAGAGACATCGATCAGCTGCCTCCTGCACATCTCCCACTGGGGATGTGCCCGCAACCCAGGCACACGCCCCTGACCGGAATCGAACCTGGGACCTTTCAGTCCGCAGGCCGACGCTCTATCCACTGAGCCAAACCGGTTTCGGCGGCTTTCATTGCTTTTAAATAAAATGACTTAGACCTCTATCTGCAGACTTTATGTTTCAAGGGGGCAGAGATTTTGTCTATTTTTCTCTGTGTTATGTCTCAGAAACGTAGAACACTAGCTGGCATACAGTAGGTACAGTTGTGTGCTTCATAATGTTGAGGTCAGCGATGGACTGCATATATAATGGTGGGCCATAAGCTTATAATGGAGCTGAAAAATTCCTATCACCGAGTGATGTCCCACAGTGATGACTTAGGTGTTTGTGGTGATGCTGGTCTCAGCAAACCTACTATCTTGCTAGTCATATAAAAGTATAGCACATACAATTATGTACAGTACATAATACTTGATAATAAGTGACTAGGTTACTGGGTTATGTATTTACTATACTATCCTTTTTATTGTCATTTTAGAGTGTACTCTTTCTACTTATAAAAAAAGTTTACTGTAAAACCGTATGCAATATTATGCCAGCAGCAACCTCATATATCTCGTGTTTACTATGTCTCCTGATTGCATTATATTCTCTTGACTTAATCTTTTGTTGGTTTGTACAGTTGAATGTTGTACAGGCTTGTGGCCTAGGAGCAATAGGTTATAACGTATAGCCCAGGTGTGTAGTAGGCTAGACAATCTAGGTTTGTGAAGTGTACTCTGATGTTCCCACATCGCTGAAATCGCCGAATGACACATTTCTTTGAATGTATCCCTGCCATTAAGAGGCACGTGACTATACTCAATTCATGTTTGCTTAGTTAATTAGTTAGTTCTTCCTCCTGATAATTTACATATTAACAGAAGGTCCTGGAAAAAGTAAGGCTGGAAGGAATTAGCTTCTGGAATTCTAGGTATTACATCAAAGAGAATGAAGAAGCAAAGAAGACATTAGTATCAACACCCCCAACCTCTCTCCTACTCTGGCTTGCCCAAATTTCACCAGGTTCCCCGCACCCCCGCCATATCTGGGCCCATGGATGTTAGGAGTTCTGAGTCACATGAATGACATCTGCTCACACCTCGTCAGCCTTCCTGCTTCTCTGGTAAATCAAAACGAGATTAAAATGCCCCCGTTTACTCCCCATGACAAAAGAAGCCTTACCAGTTAGATTCTGGAAAGCTCGCCAATCTTCCTCTGCATCCTGCTGATCCTCTTGTTTCCAGTCTTCTTTGCTGATGCTTGAAATAGACACCCCCTGATACACCTGAAGCGCCAGTGAGAGCTCCTGGTGGACATCAGTCAGCCTATTGTTCACATCTGTAAAGAGTTCTTTGTTCTTCCCTGATTTTAGAAACTTATGGAGAAAGGGCTTATCGCTAAACTTATCTATCTTCTTCTTGGCTTCCTCGAGGGCAGCCTGGAAATTGTTCAGGGCAGTGATGATCCCAGGGGACAGATTCTCCTCTCCTCGGGCCTGGAGCTCTTGCAGAGGCTGCAGCAGGCCGTGGATGCGATTCCTTAGACGTTTGTACTGTCCCTCGCAGTGTTGCATCTTTTCACATAGTTGGTACACATACTGGGCCGCGGAGATGACGTTCTTCAATATATCCATACCTGGAAGAAACTGGATGCAACCTGTTCAAGTCCCAGAAATCTCCTGCATATTTACGACTGGGCTACAGGAACCTCCGGGGTGTCTGTGATTTAAATGGCTGAAGAATTCTCCCCACAATTTCATATAAGCTAGAGATGGCTTGACGTCCACCAACATCTGTTCTGCCCTTCCATAATAACAGAGCTGTGGCTGGGAAGTGTCGGCTCACCTAGGACTATATCTCCCAGCCTTCCTTGAGGCTTGATGTGGCCATAGGACTAGTTCTCGCCAATGGGGTGTGAGTGGATATGATATGTGCCACTTTGGGTTGAGGCGGGTTTGACTCCTCTACACACTATCAGCTGGATGCATAGGATGACACAGCCCTAGGGGTGTTGGAGTCCCGAGAAAGAAGGTAGAGTCTCAAGAAGGAAGAATCCTGGATCCCCGATTCATCACTTAGAGGAGGGCTGCTCACAGACCTGGACCATCTGCCATGGACTGTTAAGTGAATGAGGAATAAACTTCTATTGTGTTTGAGCCATTATATTTTGGTGTCTGGTCATTATATCAGTTTAGCCTATTCTAACAAAAATATCCTGCCAAAGTATAGGGGTGACGATAGGATGGTGGGTTGGAAAGCTCAGGCCCTGTCTAAAGAAGGCAAGGGTTAGCCAGCAAGGATAAATGATCCAGTGGTGGAAGATCTTCCAGTTTTGAAAGAGTAGACAGAGCCCTAACCGGTTTGGCTCAGTGGATAGAGCGTCGGCTTGCAGACTGAAGGGTCCCAGGTTCGATTCCAGCCAAGGGCATGTACCTTGGTTGTGGGCACATCCCCAGTAGGGGGTGTGCAGGAGGCAGCTGATCAATGTTTCTCTCTCATCGATGTTTCTAACTCTCTATCCCTCTCCCTTCCTCTCTGTAAAAAATCAATGAAATATATTTTTTAAAAAAGAAAAAAAGAGCAGACAGAAATCTGGATTTTTATGTTAAATCTCTCAATGTAAAATCTTGCAACCAACCCTGGCCAGGTAGCTCAGTTGGTTAGATCGTCGTGCCAATACATCAAGTTGCAGGTTCGATCTCCTGGCAGGGCACATACAAGAAGCAACCAATGAATGCATAAATAAGCCTCTCTGTAAAACAAAAAAAAATCAATAAAATTAAAAAAATATATAAAATCTTGCAACCAAGTAAAAAAAATGTGCAGTCCAACTGTGTGGGTCAAATAAAACATGTCTGACAACTGGATATTACCCATGAAGCCCCAATTTGCAACCTTGGCCACAGTTGGCCAAGGATACTCAGGATTGTAACAGAACTTGGCTTCTGTCAATCTCAGCTTTTCGTTTCTATCTCTTTTCCCAATGCTTGAGCATCCCTGTCTCCCTAGTGCTCGTCCCCAGCTCTCTCTGCTGCGTTTTTAGAAAGCTGTACATTTGTTATAGCCTACCCATTGTCTATGCACCCATGACTTCATTATGTAAGTGCCACTCCCTCAGAGGCATTTGCACTAAAGACTCAGGGGTTTCCCAGGAACAAAGGAATCGTGGTGAACATCGGTGTTGCCCTCACAGCACCCATTTTCCTACCTCCTATTACTGCCCAGATTTTAAGTGGCTATTGTTCCTCCCCCATTCAGCAATGAGTGTGTAGGGAGCTGGCCCCTCTTGTGGTTCTAGAGGTGAAACCTGATGTATCTAAGCCAGTGGTTCTCAACCAAAGGAGATTTTGCCTCCAGAGGACTTCTGGCAATGTGATTGCTACTTACATCTGGTGGGTAGATGTTAAGGTGCTATAATGCATAGAACAACCCCTCCACAGCAAAGAATTATCCAGCCCAAAAGGTCAATAGTGCTGGGGCTGAGAAAATGTGATCTAAGCCATCAGATAATTCCTAATAGCCTTTCACAGAGATTGATTCAAAATTGGGCACGAGGGCGAACTTGAGTGGAGGGGAATGGTTGCCGGGGAGATTCCTGGATCCCCTAAGACAGCCCAGGAAGCCAGCTTCTAACTCTTAATTTCTCTTCCCCTCCCTCTCTCTTTCAACTGAATATGGGTGAATGAGTGAGAAAGCATGGAGCCCCAATCCTAAAGCCTTGGGATGAGCAACCTACAAATGACAGAATGCAAAGAAAAGGAAAGAAAACGCAAAGGTTTGAACTGACCCTGAAGTCTACCCCATTTCTCAATTACATGTTTCATGAACCAATGACCTTTCTTATTATTTAAGCCAGTTTGAAGCATGCTTGCTGTACTTGTAACTAAAGGCAACCTGTTTCAGTAATGAGTGATGATAATGACAATGATCACAAATCTCCCTATTCAGTTAGTATATGCTACGAACTTTGGAACCATGAGTTCACTGTTTTATAGTTGGAGATACTTAGGCTCGGGGAAGTTGCACTTAAATAAGTACAAAACCGTAGTAACGGTTTCCAAAGTACTTTTAAACATTTACTCTCAGCAGCTCCATGAAATAGGTGGGACACCTATTATCACCATGTTAAAGATCAGATAACAGTTTGGAGAACTGCATTGGCTTGACACCCAAATCTGGCTTTAAAGTGATGAGTGAAAAACTAGCGGAAGTGAAACCAACTGAGCAACCCGTGGGTACACTTTTGTTTTTCTTGCCTTAAAGTTATATGGACCTGGCAAGGGAAGTGACAGGTATTAAGGCATGTCTAAAAAGACTCAGTGGATTGCATACTACCCAGCTACTCCCAGTTGCTAAGCAAATGCCTTCAAAGCCATTTCTTGGCACCCATGAGGGCAATGAGCTTTATACTTTTCTCTGGTCCAGATGTGAAAGTGTTGCTCAAGGAATCTTGCAGATTTCAGTTTCATAGCTTCAAGCTCCAATTATCCTATTACCAGCTTCATAAAAAAGCTGTATCTCCACAATAATTAATCAGAAAAGATAATGGGGCTGAAACCGGTTTGGCTCAGTGGATAGAGCGTTGGCCTGCGGACTGAAGGGTCTCAGGTTCGATTCCGGTCAAGGGCATGTACCTGGGTTGCGGGCACATCCCCAGTGGGAGATGGTGCAGGAGGCAGCGGATCCATGTTTCTCTCTCATTGATGTTTCTAGCTCTCTATCTCTCTCCCTTCCTCTCTGTAAAAAAATCCATAAAATATATTTAAAAAAAAGATAATGGGGAAATACCCCACTCATAAAAGTGACAATTTAAAAAATACATTTTACAGAAATGATGATGTGGTATGAAGAAAATCACACAAAACAAAGCTTAAAAAAATGGAGAGAACTGTTATATCTCTGGCTGTGAAGATTAAAAATGACAAGCCAGACAATCCTTCCCCAATTTAGACCCAATTTAAAGCAATTCCAATAAACCTCCCAATGGTATAGTTTCGTATTGAAACAAAATGATCCTAAAGTTAATTTCAAAGAGGAAATTGGTAGGAATAACCAGATTTTTAAAAACAAATAAATAAGAGGACTTACCTATAAGATACAAATCTATTAAAAACTGCAATAACTGAAACTGCTTAGGGCTTATTAACTATTGATAAAGATATCAAAAGGATAAGAGGGAATAGAAGTATACATACTTTTGACTCAACAGTGTGAATTTCTAGGAACTTATGCTGTAGAAAAGCTTGTATGTGTATAGAAAGATATATACTAAGATGTTCATTGCAGTGCTATTTATAATATGGAAAAGCTGCTAACAAGGAGAGGGAAAATTTACTATTTTTAAAAGTGAAAAAATCTTTAAGTGGCATAACAATATAAATCCATAAGTAACCTAATGGCATTTCCTTTTCTCCTCAAAATAAATAAAATAAAAAAGAGGTATCAGACATCCTTTCCTGATGAGAGCATTATCACTCAGTAGGCTACTTAGGCAATTTACCCCACAGACAGCCTGGAGTTCCACCGTCTACTAGGTCTTCTTGGACGGCGCCTCTGAGCGGGTTCCCAGGCCCCTCCGACCCCCATCCATGCCGCCTCTTCTTTGGCAGAAGGCAGTGAGTCATTCAGAGACCCGCGCGCGGGAAGCTCTACCATCAGAGCGCAGGAAATGAAACTAACCCGGCCCTGAGTTCGGGAAATCGAACAGTGGGCCACCCCACCCTCCGTTACTCCCCCATCTCCCCTCCCGGCCCAGGGACCCCACCGCAGCCCCCTGGCCCCGCAAGGCGGACCGCGCCCGGAGACCACACCAGACTCACCCTTGTCCCTCCCGAAGGCGTCCGCTCTGCCCGGTGCACAGTCCAGGAGGCCCGCTCCAGCCAAGCAGAGGCTGCCTGTGCCCAGCGGAGAAGTCTGAAATATATTTTTTACAGGGGCGTCCCGAGTCCCTGTGCCCGCTTCCCTCGGGGCTCCGCGCTCTGCGCTCCCGCTCCCTCTTCCCGCCGCAGGACTGTCTGTCGTTGGGGTTGGGGTTGGGGTTGTGCCTGAACCGTTCGGTCCTGCGCCCTCCAGAGGCCACCGCCCCGGGGCTGGCACCTGGGCAGTGAAGTCTGACCAGTCCGGAAGCTTTTCAAGTCTGAGCCCACGCCTCAGGTGCCCTGGATCCTAGAGCCCCTTTCTAGAAAGTTCAGAGCGGAGTCTCCTCCCTTCCTCCTGGCAGTTTCCTCCTGCGCTTTCCACCCTCCCCCTCCTTCCTGCATTCACTCGGTAACTATTTCTAGAACACACTAAGTCCTCACTTAAGGCTCCCTGTAGGTTCTTGGGCTGACTTTAAGGGGAACCTCAGATGAGGAAACCAATTTGACCATAGGCTACATGGTATGCACAAGAGTTAAGTTTCTACAGCATATTTCTGGTCACAAAAACATCACCAAACTTCTAATAAACACCCCAAACACTTTACAGTAAACATTGGAAAAAATGTGAACTCCATGTACATGTAAGAAAGACTAAAAAAAACCAGATAGGATTGTATTTTCCAACCTGCTCATCCCAGTTCAGGGCTGGGTGGCTGAAGCCTCTCCCTGCAGCTCAGGGCGCTAAGTAGGACCCACCTGGACAGGATGCCAGGAAGTGCTTTCATCACACACACACACACACACACACCACTCACTCAGAGGGGGACAACTAGACTCACCAACTCACCTCACGGGCACATCTTTGGGATGTGGGAGGAAACTGGAGACCCCAGAGAAAAGCCCTGCAGACCTGGGGAGACGGTGCAAACTCCACACAGACAGTGGCCCCGGCTGCAAAGTGTTTTCTTTTTCTTTTCTTCACATCCATGTTATAACAAAACCACATCGAACAAGTCTATGTTATTTGAGGATCTGCTGTTTTCACTGGTGACAGGCCCTCTGCCTGGGGCTGGGGATTCAGGAAGGAATATAGTGTCCCAGAGAGGTACTGTAACTAGGACACAGGATGCAGAAAGAGCACTTCACAAGACTTAACACTCCTTCGTGACCAAACGCTCAACAAACTAGGAGCAGGAGGAAACTGTCTAAACATAATAAAGAACCTATATGACAAGGCCACAGCTAACGTTATACTCAATGATGAAAAACTGAAAACTCTTCCTCTAAGATTAAGAATAAGGCAAGGATGCCCACCCTCCCAACTTCTGTTCAGCATACTGATGGGCATCCTAGCCAGAGCAATTAGGCAAGATATCCAGGTGGAAAAAGGAGGAGTAAAGTTGTGTCTGTTTATAGGTGACAAGATCTTTTATATAGACTCCATTATAAAACAACAACAACAACAAAAAACACACAGAACTCATAAACAAATTCAGTGAAGTTGCAGGATACAAAATTAACATACAAAGAACCAGTATGTTTC